CGCTAGTAGTAACAAGTGCCTTACTAGTAGTAACAAGAAGCTAGTAGAATTTAATTAGAATTACCGAATTACCTCTTCAGACCTTTAGACCTTCTCCGGAGGCCTAACTGCCAGAAGAGTGAAGGACTTGGGGCCAAATGGAAATCCGGGAGAAGCAGCTCGTTCCGCTATGGCTGAGTGGCGCTGGGAAGCATCTAATCTCTTGCTGGATTCTCTGGCAGGAAGAAGCTTCGCTGAAGACTCAAACATTGTGTAAACACGTGGCTTGTAGCTGGCAACCTGTGTGGCTCTTGATGAACAGGCATGTTCAATGTTTATGGTTGCTGGCCTTTCAATTGCTCGCAACTGTTTGCAAAGACGCACATCCATGGATACATGTTGGACACTATGGATGTTGGGGCATATGACAACGTTTGATATCCTTCAGTTTAAGGTAGGTCTACCTGGAATCACTGTTGTCATCAGGCAGGGATATTATACTTTTAGTATTTTTCAATGATGTGGATCCGTCATGTAAGTTGCTTATTGACGTTTTGCATGAAGCAACCCTTTGCCTTTCTCCAAATCCATTGTTTGGGTCTGGACAAAACCAATGAACAAACACCAGAGTCAGAGCCAGATACACGCTGAGACTTTTCAAGCACAAATGACAGCTGTTATGTCATTATGTTACATGTGCCACACGGAAATTGTAATCTCTGAGTTCAGACAGGCAGATATCTTGGTCTCGTTAACAGTTTTTCGCATCTGTACGCTAGTAGCTTGGAGGCCATCGTCGCCACGACTACCGGGGACTCGTCGTTGTCGACTCGTCGTTCCGATGTATCCAAGGAGCATTGCTTTCATTTGCCGACTACCGGGGGCGAACTGCATTGCACCATGCTGCTTCTAGTGGGGATGTCCAGGTCATTGAGCTGTTGTTGAAAGCAGGAGCAGAGAAAGGCACCAAGGAGAGCAGACAAAGGATGACAAGATGTTTCTCTGTATTATTTAGCTTTTGTTCGGAAACGTCCTTCTCAGAGTCGTGTTTGTTGACCATGTTTCTTTGTTGGGCATATTTTCGTCAAGCATTTTCTACTGGAACCGAACGTCTCGGAAAGGACCAGCAAGGCCGCAGCCCTGCACACCTGGCTGCTGTTTATCGCCACAAAAATGCCGCAGCTTTGCTTGCAGAAGGTGCAGACACAGGATGTGACGCTTATGGCCATTCTGTCGAGAGCATTCTGGATTCGCAGGCACGTGAAGAAGACAAGTTGATTTCTTGGAATTTAGAACATCGGCCACCCGATGGTTTACAGAATCTGTGGTTTTCTAGAGAGTGTAGGTAAGGTAGATGGGGAGGGATGTCCATCACCTTCCTGGCAATAGTTGCTCATGCTAGGGAAGCAAAGCATTGATCCGCTCCCGAAGAGGCTTTAAAGGAAGTTCCTGAAGTGTCTGCCGAAGACATTTCAATGGAGTCGGACTTTATTGCATCCTATGTGTCACTGAATCGGCCAGTCCTCATTAAAGGTGGTGCAATGCACCTGGAAGCGATGTCTTGGTCGGATTACCGGCACTTGCTCATGGACATGGGCTCGGAGGTGGTTCAAGCTGCACCTGTGCCCTATTCAAAGAACATGGGTCTTCTTGGGGCAATGGAGGCACCTTTGTCTCTAGGCACAAGCTGGCAGGTGTTCTTCTGGCAGATGTACATTCACACCGTTTGATTATTGTCCTCATTTGCAGGCAAAACCCGCAAAACCCCACAAGTTAATATGTCAGAGGTCAGAACTGCTCTCATCGCCCAAGATATGGCGGAGTGAAGAGGCGGATGAGAAAGCTGCCAGTGAACCTCCGTCCTATGTTTTTGATGCCAGCGTTCTTCGGCGCAGACGCGATCTGGTGAAGAAAGCTTCTGCCTTGACGACATCATTTATGGAGCGCCACTGTTCGCACGTGCGCGTGCCGCAATTTGGCGTTGGCTTTCGTGGAGCTGGTGCACCAATGCACACACATCACGCTGCGCTCAATGCATCTTTTGCAGGATTTGCTTTTCGCTTCGGCAGTTCAGACTTCTTGTAAATGGGTCCTGAAAGACTGCTTGGAATCAGATCAAATCACGAGTATTCGTTTTGGTTCCTGTAGATCAAAGTTTTGAGATTCGCTTCGCTCAAGCAGCTTCATATGGGATTGATCCATGTGGGGCTTCTTGATCTTCTTGTTGTATGCTTTCAGTTCATGCAGGAAGGAAACGATGGCTTTTGTGTCCACCGGAAGCAGCATCGTGGGACCTGGAGCCCGTATGTTCTTGGTGGCAAAGCGATCGTTACCAGAGACAGAGAGAATCCGGCTTACTCTTGGAGTTTCAACAGGACATTGTTGCTGTTGGTTTTGTTCCTTTGTCGTTGCTTCGCGGTCCTTGTGGTCACATTGCCTGTTGGTGACACCAGATCAGAGGAACTTCCCCTCCCAAAGGAGAAATGTTGAAAGAACCTGAATATCCTTTCGATGGCGGGAGTGGTTGCAGTTGCATTGTCGGTGAGGCCAGGTGGGAGGGCATGCCTTCGATTACTTCAACAGGTCTGACCCATCCAAACAAGTTCCATTGATTCCTCTTTCCAATGACATAAACGCAGAACAATTGAAGCGACAAGCTGATTGGACAAGTCCAGAGTCTTTGAGGTTGTTTTCCAGTGTCAACATTCCTGGCTTTGCAAAACATGCCGGGGCCGGAACATTGACAAGGGTCAGCTGGTCACTACTGACTCCGGTCGACGGTGAGTTGACGACGCTTTTAGACTTAGACAATGAGGAGCATACGAGAGTGGGTCACCAGGAGCCTGGTGACCTCCTTTTCGTTCCAGAAGGATGGGGTCACGCCACGATCCTGGAGAGCTATGCGGTCCCTCGGATGTGCAATATGTGTAATTTGCCACTGCATGTCTTCTCTTCCTGTCTACAGTAGTATTTGTATGCTGTAGTATAGTATAATGGCCAATAGTTCAGAAGGACACTGCTATTGTGCATTTGTCACTGATACGACTATGCCATGCGAACATGCCAGGTTGGCGTGGCCCAGGAATTTGTGCCTTGGAGTAGCATCAATGGTGACTTGGATGCAGTTCTTGCCTTAAACACAGCATGAGCAGAACGGAGCTCAAAAACTAGATACAACGACGGCACGCCACGACGAAGCCACAAATGTTTAATGGTTTTGTGGCAACAAAACCGAGCTCTTCCCTTGCACATGGCAATATGTTTTTTGGGGAAAGCATTGCGGGTTTACAAATCATCACGTTGCATGTTGCCGTGCCTTTGCATGCGTTGACAAAAGCGCAGGAGTGGTCCCCCTCATGGCGCCCAGGTCGTAGCATTCACTGGGATGGACAAGCCTGTGGTACTGAAAACGTTGGTATTTCAGGAGAGCGCCGCCCATGGCCCCCAATTTCATGGTATTTACTGTATAGGAATGGCCAGGCCTGTGGCCCTTACAGTCGTGGTATTTACATGGGTGGCCGCATGTGGCTGCGCATGTGGCCTCGAAAGTCGTTGTGTTTACAGTAGTGGCGGGCGTGTGGCCCCCGCTTTGTGTGGTGCCTGCTCACCTTGTTCGGGACTTACGAAGTTATTATATAATTAGTGGATCTTGCGGATGAGGGAAAAGCAATGCTTTTGATGAGGGGCGAAGGTGTTGTTGGCTCCGCCCTCGCACCTGCAGTTTTCCAGTGTTATATCAGGGGCTGCTTCCAGAAGGTGCCCGTGAAGTAGTGCTATGTAATGTCTTTGCGCCGGCTTGCTATACTCACTGAAGTCAGTGACTCTGCATATGGGATTTCTTGAGCTGATGAAGGCGGGGGGTCCATATGTCAAGTAATTGGGGGGATCTTCTTGTATCTTATTGCAACTCAAATCTTCTCTGGCCCGCTCTGGAATTCTAGGCCATAGCTCTTGCGGTTGCAATTTCCAGGCTTCAGGCGAGATACATTTCGGTGGGACAAAGTTGTGAGCCACCCCGCACACTTTGCTTAGATCATCTTAGATCTTTGAGCTGAAAGTCCCGGGGACGCTGAGGAGTTGAATGGAGGTTTGCTAGATATGAAAACAAAAACAAATGCGAGTCTATGTTGAACTTGAACAAGGAAATCTGCTGCAGATGATTGCTCTTGTATGCTCTTGTGACGGGGGGCCCCGGATATGGATGCTTAATCAGTTGCCTTGTAAGTGCTGACTCTTAGGATAGTTTGTTGAAATCGATGTCTGAGGGCCTGGGATCTGTGATATGTAAACAACCAATCCTGCGGCGTTGAGACTGAGATAACCCAATGCCAAGGCCTTGAAACCATGCAAAGAAACTTCGTTGTGGAGGGCTTTCATCATAACTGCTGCGGGGTGAGACAAGGGCCAGCGCTTGGTATGTGCAATGTTTCTCTCGGCAGTGCATTGCAAAGTTCTACGTGCCAGTGCTCATGGAAAACAATGCGTGTTCTTCGGTCAACTTTTTTGGCCCCAACACTGGGTCCATGTTCTGGCTCCCAAATGCCGACCTGCCATTCTTGGGAGGCTGCAGAAGTGCGCCCGTTTGATTCTAGTGGTAGATTTGAATCGCGTCAACCTGTGTAAAGTCGCTTTGCAACCACGTGGCCTTGGGGGATGGGATCCGAAGCACTCACCAAAACAAATTTATGCGGGTTTACTGGTTCACCTCTCATGAAACCAAGTTTCATTTTGGTTCATCGTGTATTAGTAGAAGGCTGACAAACATCAGACCTGCGAGACACTGTACAGTTTTCTTCTTGGGTGGCAACGCGTTGCCCCACATATGCTTTCTCTCCAAACACAGGTTTCCTTGAAGGCCCATGTTGTAAGAATCGCAAGAAACGATTAGTCCTTAGGCTGCCCTCTTCCCCACAATGCAATCTGCAGGAAGGGTTTGAATATTTTTTGTACACAGTGGTTGGGTCGCGTGGCCATGGGGTTTTCACATCCAACGCCAGCTCCCTGGCACCACACAACATCATCTTCCAAACCGCGGGGACATGGGGAGACAACTCTGATCAGTAGTCCATTTTTGTCTCTTCCAATGTGAAAACCATCTAAGTCTACGGGCGTGGGCTTCAAACAAGTCAATTAGGTTGTGAACGCGTGGCCATGGTGATTGAGACAGTGTGATGTGACTTCACCCGTGCTGATGTGACTTCACGCATCCACGCGTGGCCATGCAGTGATGTTTCTTCACACGCATTGATGTGACGTAACCCAGCCCCTTGTACCACCATGATCATCATGGGATTTGGAATGATTATTCTTTCGGGAAAGACTGGCAATATGTTTGAGTCCAACACACAGTATAGAGTATGTACACAGTATATAAGCAGTTATATGAAATATCGGCTCCACCAAGAAACAACAGTGTGGACAAGGAGACACAGCTGAGCACCACAGGCAAAACACTTTTTTTTTTCGCCCAAATGCCGACGGTGTTGATGTTTGTGCTCACTCTGTGGAACCAACGGAGGATAGAGCGATTTGGTGGGGCGATAGAGACACTTCTCCAGCTGAAAGCCTCTCAGAAGAGTTCATGACGGGCCCGAGATTGAAAGTTGCTGCTGGCTGCTGCCAAGAGAATGTCGTGCACAAAGACTGCCGACCCCTAATGGATATTAATGGATGGCCCGCGCTGGCTCAGAAAACTCACGTGTGTACAGTCTGAAGCTTCATGGAGTTTGCAGCAGCAGAAACTACACCATCTTAGATCGAATAAAATTGTTCGTTTTGGAGCGCGCAACATTCTTGTACATACCAGTTTTGCATAAATGCTAGATAGCATAGAACCGTCAAGTCACAATGGCTAGATGTGCACCACATAGATGTTCAACTCCGCATTGAAGCCCAAATGAGATAGAAAAAGGGGCGACCAGTTTGTTTCATGGTAGCGGAGCTCTGCCAGGAAGCGCCTGGCAACTCCAGCGCATTCCCTTTTGGGTTTTGAATTTTGGGGGATAGGTGAGGTCCACTCAAAAGCCTGGAGTGGATACGATTGGTTGGGGTCACACACATGGCGACGGCTTCAGCTGCATCCGATGGTGGCGATGGTGCCGCGACTGGTGAGGCCATAGGGAGCAATGTTCGAAGCTTGGCTGCTCTGCAGAGTTTAGTTGAAAGTCAAAAGAGCAATGAATTTGCAAAGCACTACAAGCCACCACAGCTGTTTGCACCGGACACCAGACAGGACGAACCGACCAAGTGGGGTGATTGGCGTTTTCAGTTTGAGACATTTGTTGGGGCCATTGACGATTCACTTTTGTTGCTGATGAAGCGAGCAGAAAAGCTGGAGACAAGGATTGAGATGACTTCATTAGCTGGCCCGGAACGCATTTTGTCCGAGACATTGTATTCTTTGCTGTCAGGGTTGATGAAGAACAGACCGTTGAGGCTGGTTCGAGGCATTCCGCACCAGAACGGCTTAGAGGCCTGGAGAGTGTTGACAAAGGACTTACAGCCCAAGACAAGACAGCGTGCACTGGCCCTGGTACAAGCATTGAATCGAGTTCAGTTTGATGCAAACAAGACGATTACAGAGCAATTGCCCCCGTACGAAATGATGGTCAGGGAATACGAGAGAGCCGCCAATGTCACCTATCCCGATGATTTGAAAGTTGCAGCACTGGTTCCAGCCTTGCCCCAATCCCTTCGAGTTCAGGTGCAGATGGCCCTACAAGACGACACCACGTTTGATGACTTGAGGAGTCGTGTGGAGATGTATGAACAAGTCTCCATGAAGTGGGTCCCGGAAGCTGGAACTCAACTTGCCATCAAACCTGGAGGTACAGATGCTGCTGATACCTCAGCACCGATGGAGGTCGATGCGGTTTGGTCGGGAAAAGAAGGGAAAGATGGGACACTTTGCAAAAGAATGTTGGTCAAAGAAGGACTACGACCACGCCATCTTCGACGGCTACCCGCCAGGTGAGACGCGTGAGACTGGTCACGCCAACAGGCCTGAGCACCTTGGAGATCTTCGATCTTACAGAGGGTGATGAGGTGGACGTTGATGAGGACACATGGCATGAAGCCTATATGAGGTGTTGGCCATCAAGGTGAGTGAAGAGGACGATGAGGTCTTCTACGATTGCGAGGAGCCCATGGACGTAGAAGTTGGAAAGACAGGCTGTCGTACTTTTGACCTGACCACCTGTCCAATCAAGGAGAAGGAGAATGAGAAGATTTGCATGGTACAGAGCCCAATTCCCAACGTCGTGACGACGTTGGACTCCGGAGCGGACATGAGTGTGGCGCCAGAGAATTTCTATGCTTTGGGAATGCCTGGAACAGCAAAACCTATGCACATGGTGGACGCTCAGGGCGAACGAATTCAGTCGGCTGGAAATCGTCGACTTCGGCTGATTGCTACAGCCAAAGATGGATGCAGTGTGGAGTTTGTAGAGCAATTTGCTCTTGGTCAAGGGGTGACTCATCCTTTGCTGTCCCTTGACCGCCTTTTGAGACAAGGTTGGGTGCTTTTGTGAGATCGAGATGAGCTTCAGCTTGAGCACCAAGAGCGTGGCCTTCAGATACCAGCGAGGCTCGAGAGGAACTCTTTGGTGATGGAGGTACAAGTGTGTGCAATTCGTTCAGATGAGGACGAGGATGTCATCATGGAAGAGAGAGACAATGAAGTGCTCCCAGAAGTAGCAGGATCAAGAAGAAGAGAAAGCTGAGAGCCCAGAGACAGAGCGTCAGAGAAGATGTCAAAAGGAGATATCACCCCTGGCTATACATCAGAAGATACTGTTCACCAGGTACATGATGACGAGAGCAGTGATGGACGAACACAGAGTCGTTTAGCCAGGTGGAGGAAGAAGCTGCAGCCTGTCAAGAAGGAGCCCATCGAGCTGAGTCCAGAGGAGAGTCAAGGCGTGGGAGAAATGTGTCAAGGAGTGATCGATGAAGGTCATCCCAAGTTCGTGAACAAGCCATGGATTCCAACCTCAGCCAACATCATCGCGCCTGCAAGAGCCAGTCCTGAACTTTGTGGATTCATCTCGAGAGAGTTGGCTACGCTCGAAAGTGTCCCAGGTTGGCATGTCTTGCCCAATGGGATTATGGCGCACTCCAACCCCAATGCAACACGCTTCCATGATCCCA